GCGATCGAAGTGGTGTCGTCCCGGTGACGATAATGGAACTTTGACGTTTGCTCGATCAAAGCTGGACACACACGTGTTCACCCGTCGTCGGACGTCTGCACACGACCAAAATGGAACTAGGTATATAACATGCATATGATACACGCATTACCTATACGCATAAATAATATAAATATGGAATTTATAATATAGATATATTACCTGTGACGCGTATACGTGTACACGTGTATACGTATAGCGAGGAGGGCTAAGGGGGAGAACGAGGACCGAGTTTCTATAAATATATGTGTGTACATATATATGTAAACATTCACGTGACGGTGGTCTGGTGCGCGCGGCGGGAATCGCAACTTCGTGCAAGACTGTTTGACTTCCTGGCTGTATCGACTGCTCCTCAATCGATACGCCAAGCCGGCAAGGTGTCGAGAAGCAAATACGCTCCTCGGCTCTGCCCGCGACTGTTTCGTCCGGCTACGGCTTTACCCGGAAATTCGAGGGGTGACAAGTTTCCGTTTGTTCTGCTACGCAAACTGCTGGAACCATCAGCTGCTTTCGATGTGCAGGCAGGGCTGAGTCCGAACGAGTGTCGGCCGCGTTTATTCAATCGCGCCCCCGTTGTTCCCGAAAATGCGGAAGAACCTCTCGAGGACCGTCTGCGCGACGAGCGAACCTCTCGCGCTTGTCGCCGACGATGATTTTATTCTCAGATTACGGAGGCCCTCGTCGATTCGTCTTCGTTGCGTGTACATGCTAAGCAGAGATTTTTTCGTTATAAATCGATTTTGTAATAGTTTATTCTACGAGAAATTCCTGTGCGACGAATGTTCGATGTCGCGGGGAAACGTCTCCCCTTGTAGATCATTTGGAATTAATACGTATAATGATTCTTCGCTTCGATATGAAATTCTGCGTTTTCAATAGAGAATTATCGTTGAGAATTATTATTGTTCTTTTTCTCTAGTGAATTGTAATCGAGGATTCCGTTGTTTAGCAGTGGGACTTTGTTCGTACAAATATTCTTTTCAGTATAATACTCATGGGCGCGTTATTTGAATTTCGCGGTTGAAAGACGCGACCGGAATTTCTTTTTATTTTTCAACATTAATAGAGAATGTTCGAGGTATAGATGATATTGTGATTGTACGTAAAGAGCTCCCCTATTACGCGCACTCCGATGAGAGGTAGAACACGGACGGCATAGGAAGAAGATGGAAAGTTTTCAGGGGGCCTTTAAATCTATCAGAATGTTAAGCGGCGAGAAGTTTCGCGCTGCGCCGAGCGTTGCGTATGATGCATTGCTGCTATTGTGCCGGTGGATTTATTAACTTACAATTTACCGGATCCCTGGACGCTTCGCATCAAAGGCGTTCTTACGTTCCAAACTGGGGAGCGCGGAATTAAATGAAGTTCTTCTGCCCTCGTCGAATGGGCGAATTTATTGCGTTAGCCTCAGCGCGGGCCATCTCTTCGGTTCATTTTGCGGTAATGCACGGCGAGACAGTGGTTCTCACGTGGCTGCAGATTTTTCCTGGCGAAATTCTGCAACGGTGGCCATTTATTCCGATATTTCCTCGCCGGCCCGATCAATTATACAGCTCGCGATAGAATGAATTCGGAAACAAATCAAATCATCCCTTTCAGCCTCGTTCAATCAATTGAACTCATGAAATTGAAAATGTACTTTAAACTCTCGAACAAAAACGCGAATTGTTAAGCACAATGCTCTTTTTTTTAGATCATTTTTCTACAGCGATATGTTGTTGCTTCATCTTTTTATATTATTTTTTACAACTTATAGATTCATTTATTACTTTAGATGTGATCTTATAACTAGAACGGTTTTTGATCGATCTTGGAATTTTGATACCACTTTACGATTTTCTAGTATACTTTTAAACAATCATGACTTATAAGCCTGTATTATTCCCGTGGTCTTTCGTACGCTTTTTTAGTTTATATCGAAGCTTTGCACACGGAAAACTTCCTTCTCCCCCCGAGCGACGTGATTAAATACTTCATTAAGTTATAATGGAGATGAATTAGGTCGGTCGATAATCTTACACCGATCATTCTTTCGAATTAATTCTCCAGACGCATTACAGATATTTTGAATGAATAAAGAAACGTTCAATGGTTCATTGATTGAATAACGAATTTTAATAATACGCTTGTCAATACATCGTTTTTTATAAGAAACTTCATAATACTGGATCCGTCGAGATTGAATTTCTCCCCACGACGCGCGATTTACTTTTAATAGATCCCGATGTTAATAAGTACCTCCGAATACTCATGGAAAGCGTTTCACATTTTTCGTTCTCCTCGAACGACGAACGAGGCGCGTTTATTTTACGTATTCGAGCGAATCAAATTTTTCCGCGGATAAGTGGCTGCACGGTAGAAAACGGTGAGCCTGTAGCGAGCTGTAGCCCCGCTGGAGAGGTCTATCAGCGGCGACACGCCCGAAATTTCGGTTTTTGATTCCCGTTAGATTTCCATCAACGCGCACAGCCTTGCACATGACGGATGCTTTCAGAAATTCCTCGAGTCGGTATTTGTAACACATTATAAACGTTTTCATCGATGTCGATGGCTCTCGCGTTTCGGCAGCCGCGAAAATATTTTTACGCGCGCACGGTAACGCTTTTCGCTCGCTATTCCCCGCGAAAAATACACATTTTTGTTTGCCGAACCACCGGAAAAATACGTAACTTAAGCGCGATTTATAACATTACAATACAGCGTGTTTGTCAGGCATCAGATGAAATTTCAAGAAAAATATCTTACGGAGGCTACAGTTCGCTTTCTTTCCTCTTCGCCCGCGGGCGATCGTGCAGGCGACTTCTCTCCGAGAAATACAATTATTTAATAGTACATACATCAGTTTATGTATCGTTATTTATTACTTTTCTCGCCGGATAAATTTCGACATTTGTGTTTCGACGAGAATCAATATTTTTGTACGTAAATTTAATCTTCTGTTCTCATGTTTCGCGAATTTGCACACGGTCTGTGAACGAGAAGCAAGACTGGACACTGAGTTTAAACGAAAACTGTAATCACCGATGCAAATACACGTATCATTACTTTTGGAAATATACTCTCGATTGACAATGATATCGATCAAATCCAATCTGAATTGTAACCGTGTTACATTTCGCCACGTGAAGATATTGACTCATTCGCAATGCAGTCCCCTAAACTTCCGAAGCGATCGCCAGAGCAACGAAACAATGAAGCCAATAATGCAACTTTCGACGACAGAGAGTGAAAAGAAAGTGAAAACGTTCCTACGGGGTCGAAGGGATCGCAAAGTTCGGTTCCCCGCACCAGCCCGCCGTCGCCCGACCGAATTATTGCCCTCGATACCAAATGTTCCTTAAGTTGTTTCGCAAAATCGTTTCTATACATAGTAATCGTGAATGGCAAAGTGCGAAAACGATTGGAGAATCGTTGCACATTGCGACGAAGCGTGAGAGAGTGAGTGTGAGAGTGAGATTGGAATTTAAAAGAGAGGAAAAGCAAGAAAAATAATGTGATAACGTGGTCGGAGAGCACGAGTCGGCTCTGTCTATTTCGCAGATAAGATTTCGTGGCTGGTCGGTGTCGTTCGTGATAACGCGCCGTTTCTCGATTGATCACGTTCGTGTATAGTTCGTGTAGAATCGACTGGTCACTCAAGGTCAGCGGGAGGAGCATTCTGTCCCGCCTTTTCCAAAAGCAATTCGAAAACAGTCGTAGGAGTTGGTCCACTTTTACCGTTCTTCCTTCCTCCCACTCCTGTTTCTTCAATGACGATTTAAGTTCAGTGGGAGAAGTTACTCCCACCATACCCTCTGGCCACTCCCCGTTCTCCACTTTTTCCGTTCCACTTAGTACAGGCTCAAACTTTATTCATCTGTTACTCAAATTATCCCTATTGCGTGTTTGTTATCAAGACAATTAAGAGGCCAAACATAACGCCATATACTATACATCGAACGTGAGATTCTTTACATCCTCCGATATTATTGTTATTCTTTCTTTGTTAATAATGGCGTACGTGAGGAATCTGAACCGTGTGACAGGCCAATAGTAGATAACAATGTTCCCACAGCTAACTTCAAGTCAAGTGGAGATGCTTCAATTACTGCAAGGCTTAGCCACGCCTCTCACCGCCCATCGACGCTTACCACGCCCCTAGAATGGGCGTGGAATCGAGATAAGCGTTTCTACTCGACTAACAGTGAGAGAAACGACCTTGAGCTGCCAATCGAATTCGATTCGACTATAGCCCCGAACCCCAAAGATGCAGAACCGACGCGTTCTCGTCGCGACAGCCAAAGGCCGGATACTTTGCACACAATCTATATAATTGTATAAACATCGGTATCAAAAGTGTCAATATCTCGTGTTTCTCGATGGTACTTAAGGTTAATTCGCAGCCCACTCGGGTAGCCAACTGTTTGTTAATAGTACTTCCGTAAGATCCGGGGATTCGAAGCTGGAACAACGACGACTCCTGTTCGCGAAACTGCTCCGACGAATCGCCTGCGTCCCGAATGGGAATTGTGGATTGCATTAACGTTGATCGCTATCGCAATACGGACATTAAAATAAGATATGTGAATAATGATTTTTCCTGTGGAAATTTGTCGAGAATGAAAGTATCTTGTACCAAGCTCCAGTTTTCAGCGATACGATTGAGTGGCTAGCTCTAGCCAGTTACATTCTTAATGAATCAATATCAAAATTCGATATAGAATTCAAATAATCAATGTCTGCTTTTTAAGGAAATAATTGTCCTGGAAATTGCTGCCTGGTAGCACGAGAAACGTGTCGATCATTCTCGGTTTCTCTTTCACAGAACTACTCCCGGTTAGAATAATCGTCGCGTTCTTCCGGTTCCTCGGTGCTGTTTCGCGAGGGGCGTTTTTAAAAGAAGAATTTTTAACCGCGATTCCTGTCACCGACAGTTCCGATCCCTGGGCAAGATCGTACATTTCACGTGGCACGTTCCTTCTTCGTTTGGCCCGACCTGCGACTCGAGCCGAAATCTTTTTTGTACATATAGCCCGCGTTCCGCGGCCGTGGGGCCCGGAGAAAGATGAAAGATCGGGGAAACGCTCTATCTGGTCGCAAGTCCCGGGCCGACCTTGCGTATAAACCGATTGCTCGTTTATATGCGATGTATTTTTATGAACAGTATTGAAAGTGCTGCTAAGCTGTACAGTCGTCATATGGTGAATGTATTATGATGTACCTATAATGTACATAGATATATTTAATTAAAGTAAATATGAATTTGTGTAAATTCTTCGTTGTCACTTACCCACTGCGTCGAAACCGCTTGCCGTCTTTAACACTATTCCTACCGAGGCTGTCAAAAGACACCTTCTGAAGTTTTCACTTCAAATTATTTTCTCAATTTAATAATTTGTCCTCGATTGAATTTTAGACATTTCCTGTAGTTCATTTTATAACCGTTATTGGAAAAGCCGAAAAGTCAATTCAGAATGTACGACTACACTCGGAAAATAATTTTAAGATAACGTTCCAGATGGTGCCATTCGACATCTTCGGTAAAAATAGTGTTAACACTAACTGTACCGGGAACCTGTCAAATCACCGGATTTCAAATTCTGCGTTTTCTTTAGTTTATTTAATTTTCCTTTTGTTTCTGTTTCTGCTAAGAAAAGTTTATCGTCTAATTTGTTCATCTCTATTTTGTAGCCAGTTGTTTGACTACTTACGGTAGGAAAAGTGCCGGTATAGTTAGTGTTAAATCGTGTTCGTGTCGAAATATTGATTTCCCATTTTTCTCGAACGATTCTTGTTTTGTGTGTTGGGTTCCCGATTCGCGAGTGATTGTGACTCGACAAAACGAATACTAATTTTCCGTTCGATTAATTTAATAATATCGGTGGTGTTTTCTATGAAAAATGTTTTTATTCGCATTTCTCATATACATTTGATAAATCGAAAATGTTCCAAGTTATATTTGTAATTTCTTTTTTGAGCGATATATTTTATATGTATAATATTCCCACAGTGACACGACACTTCGAATTTCAGCTGTTTCTTTCAATAATTTCATTCTAATGTGTTACGAGCTACATCCAGTTTCCTCATTATCTTATCAGCGATTCTATGATGGTTCAAAGATCATGTGAGGCGTGTGCAAACTGTTCTAATTCAAGAATTTAGTACAGCGAATGCTCCAAACAAACATGCAAATACGGGTTTGCTCTTGATGAGCTATCTAACGTTACACTTGCACTTTAGCTGCACATTTTAGTCGGCCGTTAAAAACGTGCACGGTTGTTTAAAGTTTCACGTGAACAAATTAATTTCCTGCGATCAATTCAGTTGAAGTATTAAGATATCGCACATGACGGAACAAATATTCACAGATCGTACACGATCAACATTACTTCGATTAGTTAAATTTAATTAAAATCTGATAAGAGAAACTGAAAGACAGAAACGTCGTTGTGAAATCGACGCAGACAACCGGGAATATTCTTGAACACCGTTACGTTCGCACGGTTCCAACAAACAAACGTATGTCCGCAGATCTTTACGACGGTAGCCGTTGAAAAGGCATTTCACGCGTCGCCGACATTCAACTTCGGTACACCGAGCGCGAACTTATTTGTCATGCTTTAAAGAAACATGACGACAAGTTACTTAGTCCGCCAGCGAATGGAACGAACCTCGATCGCGAATAGTAATCGACACGTGAATGTAATAATACGCGGCGTACTGTAACATCCGCGAGCACAAAACAGCTGCCGAGGCGGACGTTTCTACAACTTCGAATTACTTTTCCATTATAATGACGGCCGTGTCGTAACGCCGGTGAACTTCTCGCACCACGTGCCGGTTTATCCGATAAAGAATTTGTTTTCCTTCCAGCAGGCAACTTACTTACTCTACAGGTCGCGTCAAAATACTTGTACACCGCAGACACGTATGAAATGGTTCCGCTAACGTGTTTTCACTATCGAAAGATGCTCCCAAAGAAAACTTAAATTCACTTGAAAAACTCGTATATTTACAGACTCTTTTATCACCGTGTATACGTCTGCATGATCTAATATAAGTACGATCTACGTGTATCAGAGTTGATGACTGGAAATTCTAATTCGAGATTTATAGCTTTAAAATTCTATTGAACTCGTATCATAAAGGGTGATTGTAATTTGTTCAACTTCTATTATCGTTAATTGTTATCAAATTTTCGGTTACAAAAAATAGTTAGAATGGCGATACGTTCATTTCCGTTTATTTCCAAATGAAATTAATTTCATAGATATTGTTATTTAAAGTTACGAGCTACGGCATTATATTTAGGAACTCAATAACTCGTTATAGTTTCATTTCTTCGATATTTCGTTCATAGAGTTATTGGATTGAATAAAATATCACAATTGAGGAGGTCCTCGGCGAAATGAACGCTGGCAGAACGTGTTAAAGTAACTTCAAACTGTCGAACGGTAATGTATTCGTTTCCAAAATCGATCTCGCGGAGCATCAAACGTTATAACCGTCATTCTTTATTTCGGAATGAACCGCCCTATAGAGGCAACGACGTCTAGACGTTCCTCGAACGATGTCGGTTCATAAGTCTGCGCACATTCTTCCGGCACTGTTCCCATGAAACGAAAGACGAAAGGATCGTGAAAACGGTCGAAATTCGTCCGTCGGAATTACACTTTCAGCGCGGAATGTGCTGCTCCGCGCGCGTGAACAGGTGAGACCATCTGTGAAGCGCAGACTATTTTGAAATGCAAAGGTTTTTTTTAAAAACACAGCAAGTAAATGGGGTAGTTTGCACTATGCCGACGGTATTCGGTCACGAGTGAACCGAACGGCTGAACGTACCTCGCCTCCGTCGCGAATCATATAAAGGATCAAAGCGACGAATTGCATCGGAAATGCGGCCGATTCCTTTGCGGCGAACCGTGTCTGATTTAAGTTCCGCGACTTTATGCCCGCGCGCCGCACCATGTAAGACGAATCCGCGATCGGAACGGACGCTTTTTTTCTGTGAGGCTCCCTGCGGAATCTAAGGCACAATGTGCTTATTCAAAATCTCTAGTATTAACCGCCAATTCATCGCCACTTTGATTCTATCGGTTGTTTTAGCTAAAATCGAGTTCTGATCGGACTGATTGTTAACTGTTGCGTATTATTCGAGTTGTTGCGTTAATATTTAATGAAGTTGGATCGGAGTTGACATCCAATTAGAGGAAACTTGTCCCTAATGTTGATCGTAAATCTTTCGAGATTCGAGATACGAAATAACGACGTGTTTCTATAACAGATAAATGAAAATCTAAAATTCCTTTAACACATTCGCGACGTAAGCTGTATTTACTGTCTATCCCCACAGGCGAGAAAGTGATTGATGGACTGTTGAAGGATGATAAGGAAGAGAGTGCTGGAGGAATGGGCACGTCGAAGCAGAGAGTAGAATCACGTCATTCTTTGAAAAAGTACGAGGGTTCTGCAAGGGAATCCAGAAAACGGTGCTCGCCGTGTTACCAAGAGATTCGCTCGACATATGGACCAGACCGAGCACGCGCGAAAGCGAAAAGAGTGCGGACATACTGTAACGATTGCAGTGGCCTTCCTGCGATGTGCCTTGATTGTTTCAACAAAATTCACAAATAAACCTTCGTGCAACGCCTTACATAGTTCTGAGTAGCTCTTCTGTTCGCTTTTGTTTCATTTTATAATACGAACAATAAATGCTCAGTTATTAGGATTCGTCGTGAAATATTTCTACCATGAGTGATTCACTAATTTTCTGTAGAACGGACAATATTCTGAAAAGAAATATTCTTGGACACAACTTTTCGGATATCCCGTAGATATTTTCGTTTCGTCATCGTCGTTTGGAACTTGCCAGAACAGTTAAAAGAAGATTAGTGTAATGCGAGGAGTCATAGCCCGTCCCTAACTTTCAAATTTCTGTATGTACCTGCACCACCGAGGAATTGCTAATCGTTCATGTGACCAGTTTCTCGTTTATGACGTTCGGAAGAATAGGCTATGGCTTCTCGTAAAGTAATTTAACACGAACTGAAGTGTTCCGCTTCCGTGCGAGTACCGTTATTAGCTGCCAGACCGTTCACGGAGGAACACGGCTAATCGCGCGGACAAGTCCTTTAAAATTTCGTCAACGGAGAAACTCTTAATCCTGGAAAGTGCAGCGAGAAAACAATCAACAGCCAGCAAGAAGGCTCCATAAAATCAACGATCAGTTCTTAGGCAAACAGCGTTCATTTTATCCTCTGCTTACTCATTCTCAGTGATTAAGTTCCCTGGACACTCAAGAATATTGAGGAGCAAAAATAGTTCACAACATTTGGAGTTTACAGCGTAAATTGAGTCTAATCAGGCAAAATACATGACGTCTATCATGACGTCGCGAATGTCTTAAGCCAGATTGTTCATATTTGAAAACAACAGTAACGCGTTGATAGTTTATATTCGAGATCTTACGTATATACGGTATACCCAATATTTTGCACAAGCTTTCACGAAAAACGCGTTTATGTTGTGTAATTCCGTAGTTGGAACGTAACAATCGAATGTAGACGATTATAAGACAGAAATGCAGGCAACTTTAACACTAGAACTACTGTAATAGTTAGAATGACTGGTTTCCGTTTTTGTTTCGCAATCATTGATATCTATTGTTACAATTTTTATAGGTTTTGCATATCAATCGTATTAAACGCTCGGTAGTCCTAGTGTTAAGTAAAAAAAGTTCATAGATAAAGGTCGTTAATAACGTTTAAAATCGACGCTGCGTTACTTAACACTAGAACTACCAGATTTATTTCTTTTTATACAATTACTGAAAAGGAACAGCTACTATATTATATTCGACGATCACCCCTTGCCTTACAATGACGTGCGAGACTCGTGGTGAACATTTTGAATAAAATTCAACAAGCACAAAATTATCTAGATTCGCTTGAATTAAAATTAAATATTATTCTTCTGTCATTAATTATTATATTGCAGAGCAAATGTAGACATAG